CCATGGATCACTAGCCCCGGACACAGCTTCAGCTTGGGCCCATGGGTGAGGGCCACACCTTCACCTGGGTGACACTGCTCCACCCGGGGACCACGGGGCAGTGAGTGAAACAGCTCCACCCGGGGACCACGGGGCAGCGAGTCAAACAGCTCCACCCGGGGACCACGGGGCAGCGAGTGAAACAGCTCCACCCGGGGACCACGGGGCAGCGAGTGAAACAGCTCCACCCGGGGACCATGGGGCAGTGAGTGAAGCAGCTCCAGTGGGATACACACCTCCATCTGGAGAACAAAAGCTTTATTGCATCCGACATCAACTGGAGAGAGATTCAAACTGCTGGAAACCTGCAACGCAGGACTGAGAAACACGATGAGCACCAGTGAAAACTGGGCACTGCTTAGTGTGTGCTGATAGTCAGGCTTTGTCAGTATAAATTTCCACAGTGGGATGGCCAGAGACAGAGATACAGACCACCTCACACACATTGAGGCACACACACACACTATCATGGATCGTACTCATACCAGCAATAGGCCTGTCCTAAGAGTACAGAGGCTCACCATCTCAACCACTCAGCCTGCTTTCTTAAACTGTAGGCTGACCAGTTTGTGCACCCCTGAGAGGGTGGGAAAGACCCTGGAGATTTAAGGCAAATTGTAACCATCGCTCAGGGACTGCCCCTTCGTGTCTGGGATCGAATAAAAACAGGACAGGAACGATATCATTCACATAGCTTTATTCTGGTGTCACATGACCTTACAGCAGGAGTTCCATTAGGAAAAGATAGGAATTTCAAGACCACCTTCCTATTAGACCCACACCTGCAGCTGTTAATGACACTTCTCAAAGGCAGGGGTGTGTTGGGGGGGGGGGGGAGAGAAGAGGTGGGAGTGAGGGTATAATAAACGGTTCGGAAATGCTGCTCTGGCACCGGGGTTTATTTAAAAGCATTCAATATTCATTCTCCATTTCCTCTGCCCTCCCTATAAAACAGCCAACATCTTCCAGCAATTGGATGTGAACACGGCCACCAGCTGGCTATAACAGCAGTGACTGAATGACTGCCTCAAACATTCTGCGTATAATAAAGCAGTAACAGGAGAGAAAGAGGGGCAGAGAGAGAAAGATGACATATAATATGCCCAAGGTAACTACACATAGACACACTGCGACATCAAATCGAGAGAGAGAGAGAAATGGGAGGGTAGGGTGAAGGTAATTACTTGGCACAATGTTACAATTGTAGATCTCTATTTAACCTTCTTTTGTTTTAATTAAAAAAGTGGATTTTTTTATGCCAAAACTGAATCTCGTTTTGCACTAACAGCAGACAATGCTCAGCACCGTTGCAGCACAGGTGTATACAGTGCAACACATTTCACCCCCGTGACATCTTCAGGAATAACGCATGTACTGTTACATCCTCATGACGTTAGAACCCCATTCTCCCAAACACACGCACAGGCTCTCAGACTCTCTCTCTCACACACGCACAGGCT